AACTGAACACATGAAGCTAGAGACTAGGAGGATGGTTACCAGAGGCTAGCAAGGGTAGTGGGGATGGGGGAAATGGAAATGGTTAATGGGTACAAAAAAGAAAAAAAAAAAACCCACAAAATGAAAACACTTAGTATTTGCTACACAACAAGGTAACTACAGAATTGTACATTTTAAAGTAACGCAATGAGTACAACTGGATTGTTTGTAACACAAAGCATAAATGCTTGAAATGACATATACCCCATTTAACCTGATGTGGTTATTATGTATTGCATGCCTGTATCAAAGTATCTCATGTAACACATAAATATATATACCTATGACATACCCAAAAAAATTACAAATAAAAATATTTTTTACAAAGTAGTGAGATGTGTATGAAAAGTCAAAATAATGAGACGCAGATACTAATATCGGAGTATTGACTTTTGATACCTAAAATTTGGATTTGGTAATGTTTGGAATGTGCTCTAAAATGATTATACAAAAAAGGAGGAAAATTTGCTCCAAAAAGAATGATATAAATAGACCAAAAAGGGTTTAATCCAACAAAGCTGAAAATGAAATAATAAAGCTGGTTTACAAGCCATAAGTCAAACGCTATAGCTGTCAGATAGTTGTGTCTATTTATTTGGGTAATACAGAAATAGGGTAAGGCAGGGACTCAAAGAGATGACATATAATTAGAATCATGAAATATATAAACTGTATCCAAGGATAAACAGTTACGTGTGTTCTTTGTATCATTTCATTTCAGTTGAGGTTGGGCATACAGCCATAATCTTAGAATCCAAATTAGGGTACAATAAAAAAAACTGTAACTAATCTCTCCTCAAGCATATGCAATTGAAGCTGCAATATACATTTTGGTTTTTATTTTAATGGACGTGAATGGAAAAGTAAGAAAATGGGAGCACAATGAATCAGAGTGAGGTCTGAAGCTAATCTTTAGAAATGGTGAGGACACAGAAAGTCACAGATAAAGATCGAGCCTATGTCACTATGATCTCTGTCTTCCTAATTTGAGCCCAGAGTGACATCTAGTCTTTAGAATTGGAAATTAAAAAGAGAGCTGATCTATGATTACTGACTCCAGCCATGCATACACCCTCCACTTTCTTTTTTGCTCAGGCTGAAGCTGAAAAAATTACTACATTTTAACATGAATTTATTTATTTATGTCTGGGAATGGGTGAAATAATAAGATGTCTTTGATTCTAAAATATTAACTCTATGATACAGTACTCTTATAGTCTCTCTTTTTAAAAAGAATCTTTAAAAAATAGAACCACCACATACAATTCTCATATACCTCATAAAAAATGAACACGAGGTGTTCAACAGCACTTACCATAAAAGAAAACACCAACCGAACAATTACATTTGTTGTATAATCATGTGTCTCAAACTAACTATCCTATAGGAATATTTTACATTCTTGATGAACAACCTCACCTTCACAAGGCAGGTTTCTTTAAAAAAATTCCAGGAAATTAGGAATGACAGTTAGTGAACTACAGGCCACCAATGAAATATCATCTGGCTTCAGCTGCACTATTTGATTTCCATGAGCTCCTTTAGAGCCCTTTATTTACAAGGAGGCTAGGGCTCCTCTGGAGTATAAACCTGAAGATACGAGATTGATTGCTGAAGAAGTCAGTTTTAAGGATACTTTTAAAATGCAATCATTGCAGCCATAAAATTTAAAGAAATCATACTTAAGTGTTTAGTAAAAATTAATATTGCAACACTCACTGCCACACTAAATCAGAGGGTTAAAGTCAGAATATCAATACTGTCAGTTACTCTTCTACAATACTTAAACTTCATTCAACTATTTTTCAACAGAAATAGGAATGGAGCTTCATAGAAAAAGTACACTCAAATGGATACGCTGAAAAAACAATTGGAATCCACTGTGAATTCAGATCATTTACAGGTAGAAATAAATTATGTAGGTCTAAAAATCATTGTAATGTTATATTCAAGAGTTCCCAGTTCAACTGTAAATTGATAGAGATTTACATAGTTTCAATATTAAAATAAAAATGGCAAGATTGTATTTTTTGAGGGGACAAGGAGTTAAAATTAATAGAAAGATGCTTTAAATCTATTCCAAAGAGTGATTAATCGTAGTATTTTCTGTATGAAACATGCTACATGAAAACAGCATAATCAATCAGAACAGCTTTAGAATCAGGGTGAGTGGCCTAGACCTGGCCCTGGGTCTGCCATGCAAAGGACAATGGTACCTTGGACAACAGGACTGCTCAGTGTGTGAGCACAGGAGCCAGGCAGTAACTGTGGATGGAACAGAGAACTCTTAATGCCTTGGTGAGCTGATCACATAATCTCTAATTTCTAAATTTATGATTCAGGGCAAAGGAGAGAACATCACTGGCCAAACTGATTCTGCAATACTTTATGGTGGCTCATGTACTAGGAATAGGACCTATATAATAAATAAGAGCTTGATATATTTATATAGTCAAGATTAGAAGCAGGACTTCCTGGCTATGTTAAATATGTCTTACATTTATTAACATAATAATCACATGAAAGGAAAATACAGTCATGTGTCACATAAACACATTTTGGTCAAAGATGGACTGCATACATGACAGTAGTCCCATAAGATTGTAAGGCTGTTTTTCTTTTGTGCCTTTTCTATGTTTAGGTGCACAAATACTTACCATTGTGTTACAATTGCCTACACTACTCAGGACAGTAGTAGCAACAGGCTACATCGTATAGCCTAGGTGTGTAGCAGGCTATACCATCCACGTTTGTGTCAGTACACTGTATTATGTTCACACAATGACAAAACTGCCAATGATGCATTACTCAGAATGTATCCCTATCATTAAGCAATGCATAAATGGACCAAAATGTTTTCTGGGCCCACTGATGTAGTGACTTCTTAAATGGGAGATAAAACCTCTAACATTAAAATATACCAGATTATTCAGACCATAAAGAGTGTCCATATTTTCCTCTCTTCTTTCACTCCCCAAAGTGAATGCCAGCAATAAAATCATCCAGAAAGACACCCCTCTCAGACTTACTGAGAACTAAATATACACAGTCATGACAAAAATTTTCATCATGTAAGGCGTATTCTTTATATTGTCATTCAGGTTTTTAACTTCAGTTGCAAGGAAGTGTAATTCTCTGTCATTAGAGATCATTGAGGAATAAAGTAAATGCTGCTATTACAGCTGAAATCATCAAGCTGAGCACCTGCTCTGAGATCATGAGTGAGGGATACACTGCTGAGGTCTGATTGTTCTTCACTTTCAAGAATGTTCTGATTCCTTTTGAAAGACAATTTTTAAGAAAAATTAAGGTAAAACTAACAGTAACAAAGTTGACATAGATTGTTGGAATGAAAATCAAAGACTCGAAGTAAGCTAAATTTTTATATTATTATTATTATTATTATTATTTTCTTCTGCCCCCAAAAATCTGCAGGAAAGTAGTAAGGTAAATTTTTAACAAGGTCTTTAGGAAAAACAATTTAGGTCAAGTCAATTCTTTGTCTCTAAATGGGGGATCATTTGTTATTAAATGTTCTGTCTAAAATTCACAGCAATGCCTAGTACAGACCAGAAACTCTAGAATGTACTAAGGTATAAATGTAAGGATGAGTAAGTGGGGAAAGACCTTATGCTAGTTGAAAAGTTGGATATGACATCAGGCCCAGTGGCTGATGCCTATAACCCCAGCACTTCAGGAGGCCAAAGTGAGAGGCTCACTTGAGCCCAGGAGTTTGAGAACAGCCTGGGCAACATAGTGAGACCTTGTCTCTACAAAAGAATTAAAAAATTAGCCAGGCATGGTGGCGCATGCCTGTAGTCCCAGCTACCCAGGAGGCTGAGGTGGGAAGATCGCTTGAGCCCAGGAGTTCAAGATTGCGGTGAGCCATAATTGCACCACTGCACTCCAGTCTGGATGACAGAGTGAGACCCTGTCTCAAAAAAAGAAAAATAAATCTTGGATATGAACATGGTTTATTCAGGGGTCACTGAGGATCCCCTACCTTGTTACTTGAAATACTTTTCAAGTATTGCAAAATAGGGACGGACAAGAAAATGAAGCAAAATTCTGAAGCCTTGAAAACGTAAATGTGGACACGATAAACTGACAGTCCCTGCAGGTTCCTAAGTAGAGGACTGACACCAGAAATTTACCTAATAGTTGGGCACGGTGGCTCACGGCTGCAATCTTAGCATTTTGGGAGGCCGAGGCAGGTGGATCACCTGAGGTCAGGAGTTCAAGACCAGCCTGACCAACAAGGTGAAACCCTGTCTCTATTAAAAATACAAAAATTAGCGAGGCATGGTGGCAGGTGCCTGTAGTCCCAGATACTCAGGAGGCTGAGGCAGGAGAATTGCTTAACCTGGGAGGCAGAGGTTGCAATGAGCTGATATCACGCCACTGCACTCCAGCCTGGGCAACGGAGAGAGACTCCATCTCAAAAAAAAAAAAAAAAAAAAAGGACCAGGAGTGGTGGCTCCCTCCTGTAATCCCAGCATTTTGGGAGGCCGAGGCAAGCAGATCACGAAGTCAGGAGATCAAAAACATCCTGGTTAACACATTGAAACCCTGTCTCTACTAAAAATACAAAAAATTAGCCAGGTGTGGTGGCGGGTGCCTGTAGTATCAGCTACTTGGGAGGCTGAGGCAGGAGAATGGTGTGGACCTGGAAGGCGGAGCTTGTAGTGAGTCAACATCTCGCCACTGTGCTCCAGTCTGGGTGACAAGAGTGAGACTAAGTCTCAAAAAAAAAAAAAGAAAAGAAATTTACCTAATATTTCTACAATGGATATAGAACCACCAGATAACATGCTTTTGAGAGGGAAGACTAGAAACACAAGGAAGTGTGGAATTGCATCTATAAGCACCTGAACAATCTTATCTTTTTCATTAGACTCAAATGTGACCACCATGGGTGGGGTGGGAAGAAAGATTAAGCAATACTAAAATAAGCCACTTACTGCTGTCCACGCATTTCTTTTGCACCGGGCACACAGCCATCCATCACAGATCTCATGAGAAGGAATACCATAACAACCTATAAAATAATAGTATGTATCCATGCATTAGGTCTTTTTCACCTTTAAAATATTGCAGATCTCAGTACTGAAATAAATAAAAATGGAACACTAGCCTACCATACTGTCTTGCTTCTCACTGTATAGAACAAAACATAAGCAAGGTGAATGTGAGTCTTATTGATAACTAACACAATAGTTATAGAGAATACTTATGGAACATCTTGAATGGGTAATAAAATTTTAAAATGTCAAGTCTACTAATTTGTTCACACACAGACATCTCAAAATAAGTTGCAATCCACGGGGCAAAGTTTAAGGAAATGTTAAAAATAATACAATAAATATACTGTGACCTAATATTATTAAATTAATTTAAATTTTGAAGTAATTTAAAATTACTTCAAAAATTAAGTCTAACTACCTTCAACCTCAATGATAAGGCAAATGTTGCAAACTCAGAGTTAGCGATGAAGGAATATTTTCAATTCAATTTGTCTATTCAGCTCATGCCTGACCCAAAATAACTATCTAAGGTGATGGCTGATTATGCAAATATACATAGCAATTACATGGCATCAAGGAACACATGTCACTCTGACTTCTTGAGATAAGAGAATTTTGAAATATTTAAATGAGTAATTTTTAATATTTCTGATATTAAAACCCCCTCCTTATAGGAGGGTTAAGATTTAATGAGTAATTTTTGAAAATTTCTATAACATTTGAGATGGAAACAAAATAACAGAAATGTAATTTCCCGAGAAAAAAATCTATCATAGTTAACCATGTCCATGAAATAATGAGTTAAAGCATATGTGTATAAAATAGTATGGTTACACTGCATAGCTGCTACATTCAGGAATCAGATTATATCCCAATTATTTTGTGTCCTGGTGCTTTACCTATTGTATACACATAACAATGTAAGGTGTGTATATGCATGTGTGTGTGTTCCAAATTGCCTTCAATACGAAAACAAGATGGCTATTATTATATTTCAAGCAGATACTATTTAAATCCTTTAAGTAGATAGTATCTAATCAATCAATAAATGATAAATGACGAAGTTGTTTCAACCCTAATATAAAGCAATTATTACTCTGAGGTAAATACAGAAGATAATATCTATATTATAAACCATTCAAACTACACTGACAGAGGACAGGCCATACCTAAGTGAGTTACTAGAATATGTGATTTGGTAAGATCTGGAATATTAAAATGCCTTAAAATACAGTTGTAGTATATGAGATCCCTTTTACATATTTCATAGGATTTACATGGCAGATCAATAAATGTTTACCACTTATCCAACTGTTAAAAATAATAAATTGAGATAGGTGTGGAGACTATCTCAGTCCAGGGGTAAAACAAGTGTAATGAGTGTTCTCCCCTGGAAAGCAAGAGAGATTTCCACCCTTACGAATGAAAAAAAGTTAACTCAATACAACAATTCTGAGAATAACCAAAGGAACATCCATTTCTCTTTTAAAAGTCACAAAGAAAAACAGTCTTCAACAATATCAGACTTTCAAATTAAGTTTTTTATAAACTAGATCTTAAAGTAAGTAAAATTCAAGTATGTGAAAGGAACTCCATGATAACTCCTCACCTGAACCCCAAACAAACAAACCAACAAAAAAAAAAAACCCAGACCTGCTCTCCACTGATACTACATGAAAGTGGTGAAAAAAAGATGAATATACTAACTCATACTTTTACTAGAAGAAATGTGAAAAAGAATGATATAACCATGAAGAATGCCAATAGTCCATGCAACAGATCTGACAGGTTCCAAAAACGTGAGAAATAAAGATGATGTGAAATGCTGAAAAGCCAGTGATTGATGAATTATAGATCCATTTACTTGCATGAACCCGTACGCAGCACTTTGCACAGGAAATCAGAAGACTTGTTCCATCCTCTTCAAGGAAGGCATTGGGTGGAGAATATTCTATATTTTCTTCACTATAAATAAAACACATCTCTGGTATAAGGGGCTTAGTCTTTCCTTCCAACGTAATGACTTCATCTAATTTTGTCTCCCATCTAGCATCATTTTCTTCATTGCTGCTATCTGGCTGAAAAACACAACGTTTCCACATGAGTGAAAAACATGGAAAAGAGCTCATCATTCTAGTCACTCAAATCCACTAACTCCTGTTCCAGACACTAACTTCTAACTTTTGTTCTTCCTGTTGTTCTCCTTGATCAAACTACTAGTTTTTTGGTTTTTGTTTTTTTTTTTAAATCAACATTCCACCTCAGACTCCCACCCAAAAGCTAATCTGCAGGAACAGGACAATATTCTATCATGTCTGTTCATATAAGAAAGTGACTAGCTAATCAAATTGTGTCTTCCCAAAATTAGTTCATGGAAAGCATCAATTCTTTTGCTTCTTCATATGCACTAGGGTTAAGAGATCTGTTTTCATTTACTGAAGAATCATATTTTGCTACACTTGAAGGAGTGTACAAAGACCCAGTTTTAATCTGTGCAGCAGTATTAGGAGAGGCTTTAAGAATTTTTGCCTCATCACAATATTTGAAAGCAAGAGAGAGAGAACTGGCACATGTCACTAAATAAGAAAGAATAATGTATCAAACAAAACTATTACCTCACACCAAAAGATAGAAAAAACATTTAGTACATTTAGTATTTACTTGAAAGTATAAGTAATGAATTACCTCACAGATTTTATATTATTTTATGTTTTATACTGTATTATTTTATATTAAATCTCCACGAATCTTACGATTTTAGTTTGAATTTTTTCATTATTGAGACATATACAGAACCCAGAAATTTAATGACTAAAGGAAGAGAAAAATAATGTTTATCACTCACCAGTGCCACATTAAAAAACATGAAGGGAATAAATTATTTCCTCTGTTACAAAGGTCTGAAAATGTGAGATACCACACATTTTCTTGCTCTGAAATGTCTGAACAGAACAGTTTATTTTTATAAGGAACTCTAAGACAGACATAATCTTGAATAAAATATTTGTTTCTATAAATAAAAATATAACCCAAAACATAATGTTCATGTCAATATACTTCATAATATATTGTACCTTAAAATGAACCACATAGTTCCACCCTTACAAGATTCCTAAAGATCATTTCAACTGTTTGAGTGCTGAGGACTGTGACCCTCCATTGGCTGAGGTGCTATCAGTATCATATCTATGGAATGATGCTGAAAACATCACCAAGCACAGCCAGCTGATGAGGATGAACTGGAAAATTTAGTTTGTAGTGAGTCTTGGCTGTGTCTTTTGCATGTTCCACATGGGAAGGTGAAGAGACACTTAAAATTTGGACCTAGGGCTGACATTTCTATTATTTGAGAATGACATTTTCAAACAACAACCAAAAAAAACAGAGATAAACTTAAACTTAAAGTTCTATCTTTGAAAGCTTCTACTATTTGTAAGTTTTAAGTTGTGTTTCTTGGTAAAAGAGGTAGAAAAGTTGAAAGTAACCCCCCTCCCATGAAATAAAATAAGACACTCAGAAAAGATTTGGGAGACCAAAGTGGAAGGATCGCTTGAGGCCAGGAGCTCAAGACTAGCCTAGGCAAAATAGTAAGACCAAGTCGCCAGAAAAATTAAAAAATAAATTTAAAACATTAGGCAGGTATGGTGGCTCACACCTATAGTCCTAGCTACTGTGGAAGCTGAGGCAGAAGGATCGCTTGAGCCAGAGCACAAGCCTACGTGGGGTTATGATTATGCCACTGCACTTCAGCCTGGGCAACAGAGCACGACCCTATCTCAAAAGGAAAAGATAAAGTATTTTCAGAAAAGTGTCTCCCAAGGAGAATGTAGAAAGTGTTTGTGGTTCTATGAAAGCCATCAGCTACCTAAGGATGTCTTCCTTCTTATGTGCAAAGGAAGCCCACAACAATTTACAGTGATCTTGTGGTATGTGGTCACACGGAAAGCAGGGCAAAGAAGGCAACTGTGACAGCAGCTCCCCTTTACCTTATGGTATGGCATGAGCAGAGTGCAGATGGCACAGTGTGGCTTCATCCTGGCCACTGTTGCATTATACTCTTGTTCAGCTGCGAAGTTAGGGGACTTCGTCTGCCAAAGGTGGACGAGAGGTTTCGCCCAAGACTCTGTTTCTTCCACGTCCTCCTCAATGGACAGAACCTCAGGCAATTCTTAAGGGAGAAGGCAGGAAAGTATCGTGAGCATGGGAACCAGGGAAAACAATCACCCTGAGTACAAAAGCAGCAAACATTCCACAGAATCTGTGATACTAAGGCCAGAAACCAAACCTATTTTGTCTTTCAGATACATCCTGAGAGAGCCAGAATCAGATCTCATGGCCAGACAACCACCGTCGTTTTGTGACCCTCCCCATCCCTACCAGAAATAATTACACTGTTCCCTCCTTCCCACATTACTCCTTCCGTGTCTCTACTGCTACGGTAAAAGCTCCAATACTAAAATAGGTTTGTGTGTATGAGATTATCTTCTAGTTATCAGAGTAATTCACAATCCAGAAACTACTTTGCCAATTTTTACTTTCTTCATCTAACATAGTACACGGCTCAATAAAAGTTTAATTGAACTTCACTGAATTAACTCCTGGGTTCAAGAATTTATTACAATTAACATTTTTACAGACCAGCTATAAAGTGCCAAGCAATATACTGGCATTACACGGATATAAAAGAAAATCCCTAGTCAGATCTTCTCATTTGTTCCATAAAATACCCCTAGAGGGTCAAGTCTTTTAAATGTATATTTCTTTTTTCTTTTTCTTTCTTTCTTTTTTTTAAGATGGAGCTTTGCTCTTCATGCCTAGGCTGGAGTATAATGGTGCCATCTAAGCTCACTGCAACCGCTGCCTCCGGGGTTCAAGCCACTCTACTGCTTCAGCCTTCCAAGTAGTTAGGATTACAGGCGCCCACCACCACGCCTGGCTAATTGTTTTTGTATTTTTAGTAGAGATGGAGTTTCACCACGTTGGCCAGGCTGATCTAGAACTCCTGACCTCAGGTGATCCACCCACCTCCGCCTGCCAAAGTGCTGGGATTACAGGCATGAGCCACCAAGCCTGGCCTAAAATGTATATTTCTTTACTCCACAAGAACAGCACTTTATAAAATCTTACAGAGCACCAGAAAAATACAGAAAGACACAACATGTTAGCAAAAAACTCTTCATGCCTATAGCAGAGGGCAGTACATCAGAGCAAGTGGCCAGAATAAAAGCTGCACCCAGTGTCTAGGGCTGTGACACATTCTAAACATCTGCATGAGTAGCTTTCATAGTCCGATAAATGAATACTGTAGAGCAATGTGCTTAACTACAAAGCACTGGTGAGTGAGTGTGTTCCAGCCCTTGCCATGTTGACTTACCTGTTTCAGAAAAAGTCAAATTAGATTTGCACTGATGGCAAAATGGGAAGGACTGAATGAGGCTGAAAATAACTCAAAATATGTCAAATGTCAACTGTAGCACAAAGGGTGGCATTATTATAATAATCATGTTATCATGGTTGTTGTTATTATTTTTACAATGGAAAACACTTGGTATTCACCCATGGGTAGAGTATTTGAAAACAAAACAAAAGATAAGAATCTTTGCCTATATTTGCAATAAAGTAATCTGACTCTAAATGTAAACTGTTTCTCACAGCACTTGGCCTCACCATAATAGCAAAAGGAGATGGCTAAAAAATTATTATAGCACAGGATATACTACAGCTAATTTTATGCATTTATGATTTAATACTGCACCTTTATATTTGGTTACATCCGTGTTTGTGTGCATATGTTGTGATAAATTTTAACTTTTTATAATAGATTTATGTTTATAGTAGTAAACGATAAAACAGTCTTGTATCTGCATATATTTTATGCATTCATGACCTATCTTTTTTTTATTTTTTAAATATTTCCAGGCTATATGATTCATTTGTGAGTTTTTTCAAATTGTTCCAAGTCTATGAGAAATGTTCTAATGTACTTATTGAAAAAAATTGCATGTAAGTAGACCCAAACAATTCAAACCAGTGATGTTCAAGGAGTCAACTGGAATTGAAAGATAACCGCCATTCTCAAAACATGATCTGTGAACTCCAGGGGATGCACAATCCTGTTGCATGGCATCTGTATAGTCAAAACTACTTTCATAATAATGCACGTTATTTGACTATGTTACCCAGTTGAGATTTGTAACAGTGATACAAAAGCAGTAGAGAGTAAAATTGTTGGTGCCTCAGCATGAATCAAGTGGTACCAAAGGAATCATTATATTGACTACCTCATACTTACAGAGGTAACAAAAAGGCAGTTTCTCTTAGTAATGCCTTTGATGGGGGGAAGCATCAATTTTATTACATCTGTGGAAAAAAAGGAATGTATGCATAAAGTATTTCTGTGCACACTGAAGTTCAAGAGTAGTCTTTAGAAAAGCCCTTGTGCAATTCATTGAACTGCGGATTGAATTGCCTGCCATTTTCATGGAATGCCACTTTTTCCATGAAAAAAATTATTAGCAGACAAACTATGGTCATTCAGACTTGGGTGGCTGGCAGGAATTCTCTTGAAAATAAACAAAAAAAAACTGTCAATTTTTTAAAAAACAACTAGAGTATTTGTCAACAATGATAAAAATCAAGCTTATAAGTCACAATTAAAATTTCTGGAAAATTTGTATCCATTACTGTAAGCTCAACAGATTCCAAATGCTTAAATCTGTCTCTGGTGGAAGTGATAATAATAATGAATGTAATTTTTTATATCATATAAAGAGATGCATCAACATCTAAAAGATCTGGATAACTCACATCTTTGCCAACGCATAGTAACAAAAATCATGCATGGATTAAAAAGCCACTTAAAATGCAAGACACACCAATGAACTTTCAGCTTAATAGAGTACAAAAAATTCACTGATATGATTTTAGGTTCCACACTGAAACTAAACTACTGTTTGTCAGGTTTTGATAAAGAGTCAAAGAAGAACGTCCCCTTAACTATCTAGAAAGGTTATTAAAATACTGCTTGCTCCCTTTCCAACCACATTATCTGGGGGAAGCCAAAATTTTCATCATATTCTTCAACCAAAACAACATAGTGCAAGAGATTGAATGCAGAAGCAAATAAAAGAATGCAGCTGTCTTTTATTAAATCCAATACTAAAGACATTTGAAAAAAATATAACATCTCCCAATCCTGCAGCCCCTGGTAACTAGCATTCTACTCTCTGCTTTTAGAAGTTTGATGTTTTTAGATTCCACATATAAGTGAGATCATGTGGTATCTGTCTTTCTGTTCCTGGCTCAATTCACTTAACATAATGCCCACCAGTTTCATTCATGGAGCAGCAATGTCAGGATTTCCTTCTTTTATAAGATTGAACAGTATTGGACTGTGTACACATACAATATTTTCCTTATCCATTCCTTGATTGATGGATACTTCAGATTTATTTCATATTGTACTTATTGTGAATAATGCTGACTGCACATGTAAGTGCAGATATCTCTTTGACATACGGATTTCATTTCTCCTACATCCTTTAGACATACCCAGATGGGGATTTCTGGATCAAAAGGTAAACCTCTTTTTAATTTTGTTCAGGAATCTTCGTAGTGTTACCCATAATGGCTGTACTAATTTACATTCCCACCAACATTGTACAAAGGTTCCCATTTCTCTATATCCTAACCAACACTTGTTGTCTTTTTGATAATAGCCATTCTAACAGGGATAAGAAGTGAGGATTTCACTTGCACTTTCCTAATGAGCTGTGATGTGGGGTGTTTTTCATATAACTGTTGGCCATCCATATGTCTTCTGCTGAGAAACATCTATTCAGGTCCTTTGCCCAGTTTTAATCCAGTTAATTGTTTTCTTGCTATTTAGCTGTTTAAGTTCCTTATATATTGGGATATATATATAAGGATATCATATATCCTTATATAATGTCAATATTGGGATATTGACAACTTATCAGAGATATGGTTTGCAAAATAATTTCCCACATTCTGTAGGTTGTCTCTTTACTCTGTTCTTTCTTCCTTTCCTTTGCAGAAGCCTGTTTGATAAAATCCCATGTATATATTTTTGCTTTTGTTGCCTGTGCTTTTGGAGTACAATTGCAACAAAAGCAAAAATTGACAAACGGGATATAATTAAACTAAAAAGCATCTGCACAGCAAAGGAAACTATCAATAGGGTGAAAAGACAAACTACAGAATGGGAGAAGATTTTTGCAAACTATGCATTTGACAAAGGTCTAATATTCAGCATATAAAGGGAACTTAATCAAATTTACAAGAAGAAAAACAACCCCATTAAAAACTAGACAAATTACACGAACAGACACTTTCCAAAAGAAGACATACATACGGCCAACAAGCATACGAAAAAAAGCTCAACATCACTGATCATTAAAGAAATGCAAATCAAAACTACAATGAGATACCATCTCACACCATTCAGAATGGTTGTTATTAAAAAGTCAAAAAATAACAGATGAGAGCAAGGTTGTGGAGAAACAGAAACACTTATACACTGTTGGTGGGAGTATAAATTAGTTCAACCATTATGGAAGACAGTGTAGTGATTCCTCAAAGTTAAAAACAGAAATCCCATTCAATTCAGCAATCCCATTACCAGGTATACACCCAAAGCAATAAAAACCACATAAAGTGCATTATAAAGATCCATAAACACATACGTTCATAGCAGCACTATTCACAAGAGCAAAGACACGGAATCAACCTAAATACCCATCAGTGATAGACTGGATAAAGAAAATGTGGTATCTATATACCATGGAATATTACGCAGCCATAAAAAAAGGAGATCATTTCCTTTGTGGGAACATGATGGAGCTGGAGGCCATTACCCTTAGCAAACTAACAGAAACAAAAAACCAAATACTGCATGTTCTCACTTATAAGTGAAAGCTAAATGATGAGAACACATGGGCACACAAGCAGAACAACACACACAGGGACCTTTCAGAGGGTGAAAGGTTGGAGAAGGGAGAAAATCAGGAAAAATAATGGATAATGGATATTAGGTTTAATACCAAGGTGATGAAACAATCTGTACCAAAAAATTCCATGACGCAAGTTTACCTATGTAACAAACCTGCACATGTACCCCTGAACTTAAAAGTTAAATTCATTAAGGAA